TTTGGTACATGGAAGGGAGCACATTGGACTGGACAGATTAAAAGAAATATTAGGAATCATCCTTCAAGAATGAGCACAATCTGTCCACATGTTTTCTTGTTTGTTTGAAAAATATGTGAATTAATTTACATTGATGTGGTGTGCATTTTCCAGAGTTTTGTGTGTACGTGTGAAATGTGTGTTTGTCCATAATTTTGTTTGTAGACAGGGTTTAGTGTATGGATTTTGCTTGTCTCTGTATCTTTATGAAGCAATGCGTGGAAATGAGCTGGATTAAGGCTAAAGAAGAGAATTTTGATTTACTATATTGCTATGCCTACAGGAAAATTCCCATAGGGATAATAAAAACAGCAAAGAAAACTGGGAATTTGCTAATTTGATGCTAGCTCATTGGAGGAGTAAAATTTGGCACAGAATTAACAGTTGATGACAATCCTGGGCAAGTGATCAGATAGTGCTTCCTTATCTAAAATTGGGGATGGGATTGTATTAAAGATAACTTCCCTCTGTATGTTTTCGTGTAAACAGGACTGTCAGTGCTGAACTTTCAAAGCCATTATTATCTCTCTCACACAAACCAGAGAATAGTCTATACAATTTTGCTCTAGGGATTCATTTAATCTTCCAGCGACCAAACACAAACATTTACTAGAATAGACAGTGAAATCAAGAGTGCATTTCACCAGAGGTAGCAATTTGAGGCAGATACAAAAATTATGTAATTTCACTTTGAGAATTGGAGTATTAGGGTCATCATTCTGTCGCAATATTTTTCCTTGTTTTATCTATAGTATTGGTCTGTTTTCATAGCGAGCTTGGCCAAAAACATGATCTTAAATCATTTTTACAACTAAGGTTGCAATGGCCTTCCTGTCCCAAGGCTTTTTAAAACTGCTGTAAATTTCATTCATACAGCACATTGAGGCAGAAAAGGGGGAGAATTAAAGTTTCTGAAGCACCATCGATGCTCTCCAGTAATTTTAGGTTCCATGCTGAGAGCTGCCATAAATTGCAGGGGCATCTAGAAAAGAGTTGAAATCTGTAAGATGGCTATCAGAGGGTTACAATCCAAGCCCAGTCAATTTGTTAGTTTTGAGAGACATACATATGGTCGTTTTAATGCACGTAATGATTTTATGCATCTGGAAGAAAGCTATTTTGCATATATATATTTCATTTCTTTTTATTATCATCATCATCATCATCACATGCTGTAGCAAAAACATTCACAGTAAATTATTAAAATGAAATAAATAAAATGCTAAAAAATTAAAGTTGGATTAAAAAGTTCAAGTTTCTAGGTTCTATTATCTCCAAGGACTTGAAATGGATACCTAACATTAGAACCATCATTCAGAAGACCCAACAAAGAATGTTCTTCCTGCGTCCATTCAGAAAGCTTAGATTGCCTAAGATTCTGCTGAAAACTTGGATTGCCCAAGGATCTGTACCACCAAGGAGTCATGGTGGTGCAGTGGTTAGAATGCAGTATTGCAGACTAATTCGGCTCACTGCCAAGAGTTCGATCCTGACCAGCTCAAGTTTGATTTAGCCTTCCATCTTTCCGAGGTCGGTAAAATGAGAACCCAGATTGTTTTGGGCAATATGCCGACTTTGTAAACTGCTTAGAGTAAGGAATTATTGAGTCTGTCATTTGTACCTCAATAACTATCCGTTTTGGCACTGCAACAAAACAGGACAAATACAGACTTCAACGGATAGTTAGGACTGCAGAAAAAAAACAATTGCAACCAGCCTGCTGGATCTGTATAATGCACGAACCAAAACGAGGGCTGAGAAAATATCTACAGAGCGCTTACATCCTGGACACAAATCTATTTCAACTTCTCCCTTCAGGGTGCTGCTATAGGCATTGCATGCCAAAATTACTAAGTACAAAGATAATTTTACCCCCTGTGACATCACTCTGTTGAACACTTAATTCCCACAGTACTGTCTTCTTTCTCATCTTTTTTCATCTTCTCATCTTTCCTACTATCTTCTCCTATTGGTTTCTTATGATTTAATCAATTGTTCTTTTTTATGATCTATTACTTGGTGTTTACATGCACACTGTGAGCTTCTGGAGACAAATTCCTTGTGTGTCCAGTTACACTTGGCCAATAAAGAATTCTATTCTATTCTAGAAGAAAGCAATAAGAATACAAGGAATAGAACTGAGGCAGTGTATTGAGGATAAAGTCATTACAGATAGTCCTTGCTATTTGACTGAAATGGAGCCTGCCCGTTACAGTTATATATCACAACAATCTTAAAATGGGTGACATGATTGACCCAATTTTATGACCTTGGTGGTTGTTAAGCGAATGCTGCAGTCATAAAGTGAACATCATAGTCATTAAGCAACCTAATAGTTTGGTATAGATGCAGTTTTTCCAAAAACAAAAGTATGTGCCAGGTTTTGGCAAAACCATTGTAAAATGTAGCTACATGACTGCAACGGCCATAAATGTGGCCATGTTACTGATGCCTGAAGTTTGATCATGTGACCACAGAGGGAGGCCATCTGTTAAAATGTTTGAATCCAATTGAGGGGGGCCAACTATTCAACTATTTGAATCCAGGCTATAAGTTCCCTTTTGGGGAATGGTCATAAGTTGAGGACTTCCTTTGAAGGTTAATTATTTTGGAGAGTCCTATAAAACATGAACTTCTTTATATTGAATGGAATGGGCAATTGCAAATGGCAGGCCTTGTTTTGCAGCTTCTAGAGTTCCCAAGCTCATTTAGAGGCAGACAATTGAATTACAGTTAGTGGACTAAATGTATATTTTATGGGTATACAACAATTGCTCACATTAACCTGGGCCTCAGTTTAGTTTCCTCAAGATACCAAAAGAAATGCCAGACTTTTATTGTCGACACAACCAACCTCCTAAAAATCTTTGGAGGCCGAATAAACAACAATGCAGCCCCCCAGATATAGGTCAAAGAAACTGCAGCTCTTTTGATATTAGAAAACAGGAAGCATTTATAGATAACAGGAGAATTTCAGCCCTGGAGTGTGTATGAGAGGACAGGCCTGGTGCTATTAAATAGATGCGGGACGCTGCATTTCCCTTTTGACAAAGATACTGTTTATATATATGTCCTTTCCAGAGGTGGTATTCAGCAGGTTCTGACCAATTCTGGAGAACCAGTAGCAGACATTTTGAGTAGTTCAGAGAACCGGCAAATACCACCTCTAACTGCTTCCCCCCCATCTATTCTCTGCCTCCCGAGTCCCAGCTGATCGGCTGGGTCTTCTTTGGTTGCCCTGCACAGGAGAACAGAGCTGGAAAGCTGGTTAGTGGGGTTAGAAGGGAATGGGGATTGTGCAATAACCTTCCCCTGCCACACCCACCAAGCCACACCCACAAAACTGGTAGTAAAATTTTTTGAATCCCACTACTGGTCCTTTCTGTTCTTTCAAGGAATACCGTCTTGCATTTCTTCAAAACTTATGTAGAGACTGCATAAAGCTAGTCCTTGACTTACAACCACTCACTTAGTAACTATTTAAAATTGTAACAGCCCTGAAAAAAGTGTCTTAATGAGGAAACTTTGCGCCTCTGATTCTCACAGTATCCCCATGATCACGTGATTAAAGTTTGGGTGCTTGGCAACCGGCGTGTATTTATGATGTTTGCAGGATCTTGGGATCACGGCGCCATTTGCAATCTTCCCTGCCTGGAAGCAAAGTCAAAGGGTTCACTTAAAGCCCATGCGATTCATTTAACAGGAATGCCAGACAAAAAAAATTGTAAAATGGGCTGCATCTCACTTCACAGATTTAACAGAGTTGGAAGGGACCTTGTAGGTCATATAGTCCAACCCCCCCCCTTCGCCCAAGCAGGAGACCCTACACCGGTGTTGGCGAAACTTTTCGGCACTGAGTGCTGAAATGGGAGCACACGCACGCGGGGTGGGAAGGAGTGCCGGAAAGCAGAAGAACAGCTCCCCAGTGCGCATGCATTGGAGCTCTGGAAACCGGAATAGCAGAACATGTGCATGCTGGGAAACTGAGCTTCCGGTTTCTGGCATACGCTTGCATGGTGGCCACCTGGTTGTCCAGTTTCTGGCATGCAGAACACACGCAAAGACCAGCTGGCCAGCACGCATGCACATACTGGAATCTGGAAACTCAGATTCCTGGCATGCGCATGTGTGCTGGGGAGCTGCTGTTCCAGTTCCTGGCGCTCCTGCACGTGGAAAAACCAACTGGCCGGCATGTATATGTGGAAGAGCAATCGGCTATGGCTGGCATGCTCAGAGAGATGGCTCTGCGTGCCACTTCTGGCACGTGTGCCATAGGTTCATCATCATGGCCCTACACCATTTCTGACAGATGGCAGTCCAGTCTCTTCTTGAAAGTCTCAAGTGATGACGATGCTCCCACAACGTCTGAAGGCAACTTCTGTTCCATTGGTTGATTGTTCTCACTGTCAGAAAATTTCTCCTTATTTCTAGGTTGAATCTCTCCTTGTTCAGTTTCCATCCATTATTCCTTGTCTGGCCTTCAGATGCCTTGGAAAATAGCTTGACCCCCTTCTTCTCTGTGGCAGCCCCTCAAATATTGGAAGACTGCTATCATGTCTCCCCTGGTCCTTCTCTTCCCTAGACTTGCCATGCCCAGTTCCTGCAACCGTTCATTGTATGTTTTAGACTCCAGCTTAACAATTGTCTTGCTTAGCAACAATTGTAAATGCAAGGATTGGTTATAAGTCTTTTTTTTTTCTGGGGCTGTTGTAACGGTCACTAAAATAATGGTTCTAAATTGAGGACTACATGCAGTGATAAAGGTGTGAGACGGGGCCTGGCTGTAAATATCCAGGCTTAAGTCTACACTTAGGATATAAATTTCCTGGCCTGGATTTCTCTCTTTCTCTCGTTCAGTACAGCCTACTGTGAAAAGACTTCGGTTCCTTGAAGAAATCTTTTAAAAAATCAAATAAGTAATAAATAAAACATATAACACTTTTTAAAATTTTTCTCCCCAGGCCCTCCCTCGATCTGCTATACTTCCAGTACTCCTGTGCAGGTACTGGAAGGCACTGACTATCTTCATACAGATCCTCATCTGTTTGGCAATAGGCAAGATGGTTCCCCATTAATGGTAGAAGCGGTCAATAATATTGAAGGTAAGTTTTTTCCTCTTCATCTCTAGTTGGATCTTCTGCCACCCGTGTCTTGGATTTCAATTTTCACCATGTTGTCATTGGTCACACAGGCTGGGTGGTGATAGTAGAAGTGTTATTGCATTAAATCAAGTGTTTTCAGTTGTTTCATAGAATCATAGGGCTGAAAGGGACCATAGAGCTCTTCTAGTCCAACCCCTTGCCCGAGGCAGGAGTTCTTATTCCATCCTGGATAAATGATTGTCCAATCTTTTCTTGAATCTACACCAATGGAGCACCCACAACTTCTGAAGGCAAGGTCTTCCACTGATTAACTGTTCTCGCTGTCAGGAAATTTCTCCTTAGTTCCAGGTTGGATCTGACTAGCTTCCAACAATTCTGTTTCTTGTCCTGCCCTCAGGTGTTATGGAGAATAAATTGATCCCCTCTTTTCTGTGATAACCCTTATACATTGGAAGACTGCTGTCATGTCAGGAAATAGGTTTTTTTTTATAATCAGGGAAAGCAGCAGGGTGAATGGTAGAAAAAAGGTACTTTTTCATAATTTCATTCTTATTTTTTTTTAACATTTTTTTTAACCTTCTACCCTTTACAGTAGGGGTGTCAAACTTGATTTCATTGAGGGCTGCATCAATGTTGTGTTTGCCTTTGGGGAGCTGGACTGGGCGTGGCCAGGGTGAGCGTGGCCAGCTCGACATCACATGTCAGGGGCACCAGTGGTGGCCCAAGCGCTCTGCCAGCCAAAACGGGCTCCCAAGCTCCATTTTCAGCTGCAATGGCTTCCTGCAACCCATTGTCAGCGAAAACAGAGCTCTGGAGGGCTGCCCGTGGCCTTCATTTTCTCTGGTAGAGGCACCGCAGGCCGGTTCTTTGCTGTTTCCAAGGCAGCCCTGCGGGACATATCTAAGCACCCCATGGGCCTGATCTGGCCCGTGGGCCTTGAATTTAACAGAATGTGCTCAGTGTTATCTAAGATTAGAAACTTTAACTTTAGATTAAAAAGTGGATTAAACGTGATAGATATTACAGAGAAAGAATAAGAATCAGTTACCTACTCATTGACACCAGTGTTAGTGTGAAACAGTTTAAACGCTGTAGAAAAAAAATACTCAAGAATAAATCCTGTTAAAACAAGATGAATGTAGGAGAAGTAGCCATATGAATTTTAGTCACCCAAACCCTGAGAATTAATTGCCTGTAGTGGTCCATGAATGAAATGTTATTCTATGGTTAAAATTGTGTCATTGTAGTAGAACATAAAGAAAATGAAATGTTTTTTTAAAAAGAAATAAATAGGCAGACAGACACATTTCAAATATTACTTCAGCGGCCTCATTTCTTAACTCCGCACTGGACCTTGTTTATGGAGATTCTCCATCAAGCAGGTCATGGTTGTCCCAAAGGTGCTTTTTTCTGAAAGGCCACTGGACGTCCTTGTTTTTGTTCCTTTTAAAACATTTCACTTCTCATCCAAGAAGCTTCATCAGTTCTACTGTTCTACAGAACTGAAGAAGCTTCTTGGATGAGAAGTGAAAGCCTTTCAAAGGGGAAAACAACAACAACAATAACAAAAAAGCCCAGCTGCCTTTTGGAAACAAAGCACCTTTGAGACAATCTTCACTGGACCAACTTCTAGATAACATTTATCAATTTATTTATAAAAGTTACAGACCACCCATCTTACCTCAAGATGATATTCACAGTGATGTTTTTTTTTTCTGTAGTCTTTAAAAATGGCATGAAAATGGCCTCAGCTCTTACCTTTTTTCCATCTCTTTCTTTCTTTCTCCTTTCTTTCTGCTGGGCCTCAGCTGAAGACCCTTTGTTTACCTTCTACCCACCAAGCTTTCTCCAGGCCTCAGAGGTGGAAATGAGAGGTTCTGAGGATGTTGTCCCTGGCACTGTTTTACAGCGGTTGATCCAGGAGTTGCGTTATGGCAACCCCAACGAGAATATGAACCTGCTGACTCTCCAGCACCAAGCTACGGGGAGCTCAGGACCCTCCAACTCCACTGCCAGCAGCACCCTGTCTTCTTCTGTGGAAAACCTTGTGCCGGAAGACCCACAAATGGTCCAGCAGTCAGCACGGCAGGAACCACAAGGCCAGGAACATCAAGGGGATAATACGGCAATGGAGAAACAGACCAGAGGCTCGCAGCCTCAGCAGAACAACGAAGAATTGCCTTCTTATGAAGAAGCCAAAGCTCAGTCTCAGTTTTTTAGAAGTCAGCAGCCCAGTGTCGTTGGGCCCAGTTTCTACATGGCCAGCAGCACTGGGCCAAAATCTAAAACAGAAGGTAGGCCAACTTTGGCCCGTGCCAACAGTGGGCAGGCCCACAAGGATGAAGCCCTGAAGGAACTGAAACAAGGCCACGTGCGCTCCTTGAGCGAGAGGATCATGCAGCTCTCCTTGGAAAGGAATGGGGCCAAACAGCTTCTTCCTTGCTCGGGAAGAAGCAAAGGGTTCAAATCCAGCGGGCCTTCCTCTTCCCCGGCCCCCAATAAAGGCATGGATCTGAGAGGCCCCCCTCCAGATTATCCATTTAAGATCAAGCAGGGGGGCTCTCCAGGAAGCAAAAGTCAAGAGCCGGGTGTGTTTTTTAATGAGCATTCCGGAACAATTCAAGAAATGACAAAGGCCTCCTATTCAGTGTCACAGCCAGCGAGGAGCGAAGTAGCTATTGTCCGATATCAGGGTCCCCCAGAATATGGTGTCACCAGGTAATTTTGACTATTTCTTTTGGTGTCCTACTGTAAAAAGCTCAGATCCTTGCACAATCTTTCCCTTTTCTTCATTACATAAAGAATATCACATTGAACATTCTAAACAATTTCTTCTTTCAATAGTTCCAGTAATTACAAGCTCTTCGCAATGGACCTCTTTAAGTGTAAGTAATCCAATTGAAATGTATTCCTCTTTCTGTAGTCGTCAATGCGCATCGTCTTTTCCATCACTGCCAACACCCCAGGAGCACAGCCCACTGTCCTCCCAGACCTCCTCGCTTAGCGGCCCCCTGCACTCCGCGTCTCTGCCGCCTCTCTCAATGGCCACAGCGTCCCAGTCTCTGCCCGCAAGTCCGCCTAGCCAGCAGCCCCTCACACCAGATGCCTTCACGATAGTACAGCGCGCCCAGCAAATGGTGGAGATGTTGTCTGAAGATAATGAAGCCCTGCAGAAGGAGCTGAAGGGCTACTACGAGAAAGCAGACAAGCTTCAGAAGGTGGGTGGCAGGATAGAGAGGATCCAGATATACCTTCCTACCTACTTTACAGTGGCTATAGTTCAGGGGTGTCAAACTCGCGTTGTCACGGGGCATATCGTGACTTTTCCCCCCTTTCCTAACAGGCTGTGGGAGTGGCCAGTGTGTGACACATCCGGCCTGTGGGCTGCGAGTGTCAGGGTTCCAGTTAACACACCCAAAACTCCCAGGCAGGCATATTCCTCAAAGTAGAGATTTATTAAGCATGTCATGTTGGCACATCTAGGGAAACCCAACTCTAACCCCCTTTCGGGTTTCCCCTCAGTTAAAAGTAAAGTTTTCTTTCCCCTGCCCATACAGTCCATCACACCGTCCAATCAATTCCCAGTCCAAGGATCGGTCGGTCTCCGATCTCACCTCCTCGCACCTGGTGGGAAAGCCCTTGGTTCTCAGAGGAAAGAATTTTATTTTGGCTACAATCCCCCAGCTATCTCTGCCTCCCTTCTCCCATTCCCACAGCTCAACTCATCTCCGGTGTGGCAGCCCTGAAGGTGCCAGGGGAAAATGGCTTCAGGGCTGACAGCGAGTTTGACATCCCTACTGAATAGCCCACCCAACTCAAAAAAGATTCTGGACCGATTAGTGGGATTTTTTGTGTGTGAAATATACATTCAGGAGGCATGTATATAATTTGAAATTGAGATCCCCATCTCTGCTTTGTATATTGTAAATGGTTTGACTCAGCTCCCATTCCATTTATCTTGTTGGAAATGAATATTGGAAAGTGGAAAAGCATCATCTTTGTTGGAATGCCATCTGGCATCTCTTTGAGCCTCACCACCTTACCTTCTCAGGTGAGCTATGGCTCGCCATAACATTGCAGAAGACATTTTGTAGATAAGCGTGCCTTCTCTTATGGCGCCATTTTGTGAGGTGTCCATAGCATCAAAACATGTCTATATGGATCCCCAGAAAATGTATCCTGGTTATAGACAGTGGCTGTCTAAGTGAACTGATTGTTCAAAGCAGTGTTTCTCAACTTTTATAACTTTTAAGATGTCTGAGTTTCACCTCCCAATTCTAGGAGTTGAAGTCCAAGTTGCCAAGGTTGACAAACAGTGATCCAAAGGATAAGTCTCCAACTCAAATCTCACTTCAGCCAGGATTCCCAAAGGGGCCTTAGATGATATTATTCTTTCCTCCTTGCCGATATAGTTATTTACCATAGAATACCGGTCTGAAATTTTTCCTGGTGCTTTATAAGTGAACAATATTATTGCAGTTGTCTGAGTGATACCAGTGTTCAGGGTGAATTTCTGGGCTGTCGTTTTGAAACGCCTCAGTTGCCCTCCTGTCAACCTATTTCTAATGCTTGCCAAATTCTCCGCTGACACAGTGTGTTTATATAGCTGTGGGCTGTCGTAGGCCACAAAAGGGGTTCCCAGAATTTTCTATCCTGAACCAGCTTTTAGAGGCTGGGCTGCTGTCGTTTTAACTTCCTGGGAAGTGTCCAATTGTACATTTTCACATATAAAAACAGTAGAGCTTCACCTCCTAAAAAGTTCACAGCATATGTCTATCGACATAAAAACTTAATTACGCTTTTAGCAAGTGGTCCATGCATAATGGATTGAGACAGCAAAGTATTCTTGGTTTGGAAAAGGAGCTATAATTAAGTAACTTTAGATTCTGACCTTAATGGTCTCAAGGTGAAAATGGAGGGTCATTTCTTCTTCCAAATCCAGTAAGTTGGTCTTGTTATATTTAGAGTTAGTTGATCATTCTGCTAAGTGGGGTTCTGAAGATATTCATCTCCTATTAGAACCACCAGGCTTCTGTTCCATTATTGTCCCAGTCCTTTTTACCCTTAACCATGCAAAATAAAATAAACTTTTCAGATCTCACCCCAGGGAGATAAGATGTTCCAAAGAGCAGGAGCCACAGCAGAGAAGGCTCTTCTCCTGGACCATTATATTATTTATATAATGCTTTTTTTCACAAGAAAAAGGAAGAACAGACTAGGTTACAGCCTGATTCATATCTGTGCAAATATGCAGCAATCCCTGCTAGGTATTAGAGAGAATGTTGGTCAATTTTGACACATTTTGGCTATTATGACACAACTGAAACCCAGTTTTAACCCTAATGTTCTATGCAAGCTAGGATCTCTAAACTAGAGGCTACCTTACAAGCCAGCATTCTGCTGCTGTCTACATTGCTCCAACTAAGTCGTGTGTACCATTGCGCCTACAGGTGATTAGGATACTCCAGCTAAGTCAATGGATTAGTCCATTTTGCGAATCCAGAATCTGTAGCCTATGTTTGGGGATGATGAACCAGCAATCTAGCTTAGGAGAAAGCAACTCCTATGAACTAGAGTAGCTGCAGAAGACAAGAATGGGTGATCTATGTCATGTGAGCATCTTCAGCACCTGAGGAGTGGAAAGAAGAGGAGTAGAAGGAGACTCAAAAGTTTCTAGGAGGAGACTTGGTCCCATTTCTCCCCCCCCCCCCACTCCTGCTCCCAAACAGCTAAAAAGGGGGCAAAATTAAGGGTGTGATTTTGTGTAAAAGACATAAAAATAAAGGTGAGAGGCAGGCAAAATTATCTCCCCCCATCCAACAATTTCCTGTATGCTACTAGATAATGTCTTCCAACACTCCTTTGACCTAAAATTTACATGGAACCCGTTGCATGGAAAGCCCCTGTTCTTCAGGCTTTCCACTGGCATGCCCAAATATTTCTCTATGATTGGGAAAGTGATTGCTTTCAGCATTACTTGAACTTTTTAATGTTTGTGGAAGGATTCCCATTTGGACATGGTTGTAAAAGAGTTCATTTTGCGAAGTTACAGAAGTGGTACAGGGCTGGCAAAATTTCTAGGTAGTGTATAAAATTTGTCAATGGTTGACATGCATCCTACTCAGCTTTTATTAGGATACCAATTTCTCCTTTATCCTAGTTTGAAATGGAAATTCAGAGGATTTCAGAAGCTTATGAGGACCTGGTGAAAATCACCACCAAGAGAGAGTCACTAGACAAGGCGATGCGAAACAAACTTGAAAGTGAAATCAGAAGACTCCATGATTTCAACAGGGACTTGCATGGTATGTCCTCCTCCTCCTCCTCCTCCTCCTCCTCCTCCTCCTCCTCCT